TTAAATTCAAAACAGCGCAAACTGAATTCGGAATTAAGAACTTTTTAACTTCATGCAACTCAGCGGTGCGTTGAGAAAAAAAAAATTAACGGGATAGGGGCATAAAATTTGTATTTTGCCGTTTTTTATTTAAAAAAGCGTCCTCCTCTCCCCACCGTCTAAACCCGGACTTTGGTCAATACACGCGGCTACAAATGTCGATCCCCAAAGTCTGAAAAAACTAAGTTTGGATTCATTCAAACTGAACATGCAAACACAACGTCGATCTGGCACACCATTTCATAATGGGAGATGGCCACTCAAACAATTTGGTGTAAACATTATGAAAAACGGTAATCATAAGATTTTAAAAAAGCATGTAACGGTGTATTAAGCATGGAAACGTGTACAAGTATTATATGACTAGCATTTTTAATCGAGCCGGGTCTATTTGAAGAATTGAGCTAAATGCTGAAAAAAATTTGAACAGTTAAAGATTTGGCAACTAAAGAGAACAAAAGACAAATTAAAACAAGACTGCTCGTATCAAGGCGAAGCGTTGAACGTTTTGGAAGTCTTTGAAGGTCAATAGAGTAGAGTTCGCTCTGGAAAACGTATGAAAATTGAACAAATTAAAGATTTGACAACTAAAGATAACAGAACACAATTTAAAACAAGACTGCTCGTATCAGGGCGAAGCGTTGAACGTTCTGGCAGTCTTTCAAGGTCAATAGAGTAGTGTTCGCTCTGACAATTTTATGAATATTACCAAAGTTGGAAATCTCGAGGCCTTTCGTTGAATACTATCCCCCAAAACCTTATGTAAAGTTTGAAGTGATTCTTTTGCATTAAAAAGTAATAAATACACCCAATAGCATTCTTCAGTTCAATGTGGAACTTTTTCTAATTGTTTCAAATTGGCCAAACTGGCATTATTTAAGCCGAATATATTAATTTGATTTTTTTTTGTAAAGTTTATTTTTTGTTTTATTTTATATTGGTAATTTAGCCAATTTGAAATAAATAACGCCCATTTTTTTTTTGTTATTAACGCGTAATCGGAGATTTAAACCGTCTTAGAAATTGTTCCAAATTGAGTTGAGGAATGCTATTGGGTGTATTTACTATTTTTTTAATGTAAAAATCCAGTTTCACATAAGGTCTTGGGTGATAATATTCAACAAAAACTCTCAATTTTTTTATCTAATTTTCAAATTTTGGCAATTTTCATACGTTTTGCAGAGCGAACTCTACTCTTTTGACCTTAAAAGACTTCCAGAACGTTCAACGCTTCGCCTTGATACGAGCAGTCTTGTTTTAGTTTGTCTTTTGTTATCTTTAATTGTCAAATCTTTAACTGATTCAATTTTTTTTCCGCATTTAGCTCAATTCTTCAATTAGTCAAAAAGGTTGATTGGCGGGGCTTTTCTTTTCAAGGTGCTTATGGAATTTTGACTTACTTAACCATCCCGAGCTGACCTCCATGCACCAAAGAAAAAATGGCTGAAATAAAATTCCTTTCAAGTTGTCTTTGATAAATGGCAGTCATGTAACTATTCTTTATGGGAACAGTTTGACCCTTTTTTGTATAAAAAAAAATGTAAGAAAACAAAAATTCTTTAATCAAAATTATCAATCATTTCCAATCTTGTGTTATCACCCTTTTTTCAGTGTTTCCTTTTACTCGTTTATGTTTAATAGATTGGAAGGATGCCATTAGTCTACCGGAGCTTGTTTTAGGGCACCTAAATTGGAAAAAGAAACTGTTTTGCTATGGCTTTTCTCCGGTATTCTTTTTTCTAATATATAGATCGGGATCGAGCTCTTAAAACTTAAAAGTAAAATTTGTGGTTCATCAAGAGTATCACAAAAATTTTGTATAATTCGCCTTATGATTGCAATGCTCACCGAGATTTTGAGCAGCACTGTTACCTAGGACCAGCAACATTAAGCATACAAAAATAATCATGATAAAATGATTGCAGTTAAAATGGCTCAAAATTTTTTTAATGTTTTTTGAGCTCGAATAACAATTTAATGGCTCTTTTTTACTCTTTCACCGGGTGTTTCAGATAAAACCTTTTCAAGTCGATACTCTCATTGAGCATATGAAATGAACTAAAGATAATTGAACGCGACGTAGATAGCAGAAGAAAACTTTTTAAAAGAAAAAAAGAATCTTTTCTAGCAGTTCGGCGATGTGCAACAAACAGATACAGGCATGAAATTTTCACTAGTGTTTTCCTTAAACTTTGGCATAAACTGAAAAAAAATTGATCTTTTTGCGACTAAAAGATACTGTCGCAAAATACCGTCGCCATACCTAGTGTTTACTGAATGGTCAGTGGTGGAATTTAATTGTCCTTCTGTTTTGTTTGGTATGTCAACAGAAAACTTCTTGTTTTGATTTTCTTTTTTGATTGAGTTAAAAATACGTAGTGAAAAAATCATAACTAGAAAAACAGTGGTTAGGTTAGAATTTTTTTTTTACAAAATTCATTATTTCATAAAAACATCTGGACACTGGCAAAATCGATTTAAAAAAACCATTTCTTTTAAATTTTTTTCGACTTATCAGATATGAATTGTGAAAAAGTTTGAAAGCTGGCAAAACCGTAACTGCTTTTACGGTACCTTTAGGCTCTTAAAATTTTGTCTGCTTCAGGTAACTTGAATAATGCTGAAGCAAAAATTCAAAATGCTTCTGGTTTTGCATACGAAAAGCTTGCATATCCTCATTTTGTAAGTAAATTTTGTTAAATGTTGTAACTAGCTACGCGAAGTTGGAACAAACTAATTGCCTTGCTTATATTTTGAATTTAGCTCCTATTCTTTTGCTGCCTGCGATAAGCGTAAATAGCAAGTTGGTTTTATAGGTCGCATTGATTATCCCAATATCGTTTAAGTCACATTTTTGAACTCTCTAATTTCACAAAAAATAATCAGTCAGACTTAATTTTTAGTTTAGAGCTGATGTGGTTTCAAATATTCCATCAAAACAATTCTGAAAAATTTGCCTGCGGTGCAGAAATTAGGTCAGAATAAAATCGTTACAGTGATTTGGGAGACCTTTTTTTGAAAATCCTCCACCCTCAAGAAAATCCTAAATGCGTCCCTGATGTGATGGGTCTTCAGTCTGATCTGAACTAGATGTAAGTTTTGGGAAATCAAGAAGTACGCTGAATCTAATATACTATTTATCTTACACAGCCCAAGAAAGTTATAGAAGGGCAAAAAATCCGAAAATTTGAGCAAACTGTTTCAAAGTTTCTTTTTTTCAAAAATTTTAATTTTTATATCGTAAAATTTACCTTTTTGGCTATCAACCAAAATTATATTCTCCTATACAGACTTAGATATTTTACTCTTCTAGAATTTTGTTGGGTTGTGTAAGAGGCTTCTTTTGATATAGTTTTTTTCATCAAATAACTTGTCAGCTTCTGCGTAGTTTTTAATTACCTAAAAAGCTAAAAGTACTCACTTCGAGATAAAATTTTGGTTGTGAATATCGAAAAAATAGGATCATAATAATTCATAATTAATTGTTTTTTTTTAAATATTTTTTGTCTAATTCTAATACATTTCGCGTTTTTTTTTAAAATTGTTCATTGTCTGGATATTTTAAATCATCACTGAAGTCGTTTCACTTTTCTTTTCAGTCATATATTAGCAATCTCCTTCAAGAATAGGGGCAACTGTTAAATAGATTATGTTAACGGAATTTTCCACCAATCAGAATGTAGCAAAATTCGGATAACATAGAATTTTCTGATTTTGTTCATAGGGGTGGCATCTTTTAGTAGATAACATAGGCGGAGATAATTTTGTAGATCCATCAATTATAACTTCAATTCCTCTCAATCACAAAAAGTTTTTCTTTGCTGAATCAAACAATGACCAATATTCAACAAGAAAAACATGCGCAACAGTTTTGTTGAATAATAAAAATTAAATGTAACAAATACAAATAAAGGTGAATTTTATGACGTCCTTCAGATAAAATTTCCGAAGATAAAGTATAATTTCTCATAACGTATTTGAGCTTAGGTTATTAAAACTTGAAAATTGATATGAATTTACTAAACATGATGCAAAGGCACTTGGGAGGATTATTTATTACCCGCCCCATATTGATTTAAATCGGATTGTTTTGCTGCTATTTTCCCCCTAGGGTGCCTATCAATAAATTGCCACTCCATAAAGAAAAACTTCAATTATTAAGCATATGCATATTTTAAACCTAGTAAAGATTTCCCCTTTTGCAAAAGGGGGCATAGTTGAAGAGACCCTTTATAACTGATGCCCATTTCGTCGGGGTAAGCGATAATCATTTGAGTGCAGCAAATTAACCCAGCCTCGAACGCACTATAATACTTTTGCCAATTTCCAATTTTCCATTTGAGCGGGAAAAACCTGAATTAAAGATTAATAATCTAAAAAAAGGTTCTGCAACTGTTTTCACGAATTACTTCTGCAAAGACTAAACAAGATTCTAATCCTGTCAGTTTTTTTTTCGGAATTTGATAAGAAAAATTCAAAAATATCTTCGTAAAATGATAATCATTGGCATTGATTAGATTCTGTACAAACTAAAGAAAATATAATTGCAGCCTAAACAAAACATTTAATCGAAATCACCGAAAATATTGAAGAAGGACTCAACAATATTTCTCCAAAAACTGATATCAATATCAAGATTCTACAAATCAATAATTGACAAAAAAGTAGCTAGAACACAAAATAGCATTGTGATCAGACGAGCTAAAAGGCTCTTCAGTTCGCCAAAAGCAAAAATAGTTTCCAGATAGCCCAAAAAATTTAAATTTTTAAAATTATTTGTCAACAAAAAATTTCTATTTTTTTAAATGCAACAGCCCGAATGATTCCCTAATTGAAAAGCAGGATAATTTAAACCCCCCACCCCCATCGCAAAAGGAACTAACAATTTGAATACGCTTACGACGTTTTTTAATGAATGGACGTTTTTTAAGGATTCAAAGCGGTATTGGTTGAAGGTTAAAAGCGATTCGAAGAGCCCATTAGAAATTTTAACTGATCTGAAAATCTTGCTTCAACCTATATCTATACACAGTGAGAGTTAATGTGTTGTGACTCATTTGAATTTTGAGGTCGGTGTAATTGGAACGAGTTGAGGCGGCAGTTGTCATGCATATCTCGTCCCCCCAATGCAACCCCGTTGGTGTCCGCCATGCCCAAAGTGTCTCGACATCTCCGCATCTTCAGGGCAAGTTTAGTGACACAGTCCTGTAAATGATCAAATTTTTTTTGCTTTTTAAGACTCTGGCAAATATAATTGCAAACATTTTCTGACAGACTAGAGACGGATCTCAGAAAAATTTAGCTATTTTTTTTTACTGAAAACCATTTTTTCTGCGCAACCCTAAAAATTGCGTTAATAAAGACCCGACATAAGTCGACTACTTGGCAATAAAAAAACAAGTCGAATTCTATAAAAAAGTATTCATGCTTTGTATTGAAATAATATAATCACCGAAGCAGTTTTAAGGTCTTTCCAATTTGCGTTATAGTGTTGAAATAAATTAAACGGAGCAAACAAATTAATTAGACCTGAATTTTTAAATGCCCTTTCCTGGAAATGGGTTGAAAGTGGATTTAATGTGAAATGTTAAAAATGCTGGTAGGCCCAAAGGACCCCCCTCCCTTTATTTTGAGATATCCACGGTGCAGAAAATTTGGTCAAATTACGGTCTTTATAGTGGTTTGGATGAGCTCAAAAAATCAGTTTGGTCGACCTAAAAAAAGGTCGACAAAATTGGCTTTTGAAACTCCGCCCACCCCCCTCGAGAAATTCCTAGATCCGCGCCTGAATACTGCCCAGTATTATCAACGTTTCTGTTGTCGTTGAAAATCCAAATTTCAATCGATCAGGTTCGACCATCATGATCAAACAGCAAAAGATCAGTTTCTGGGGCGTATTACAGAAAAGACTCTTTAAAGAAATTTTACTTCAATGACAAAAAAATCAATTCAATTGCAAAATATTCAATGGCAAAATATATGAAAACAAGAAATATGCTCATTGAAGATTTCTTTGATTGACACTTAGTTAGATTCATCGAGATTTTTTTCCAAAAGTATCCGTCTTCAATACAATTGAACAATTTTTTTGACCCAATGTTTCAAAAACTCTAAACTTTTTTTGAAAGTGTTTTATTCTAGCTCAAATTAAGACAACTTCAGTATGATAGCCTTCTGCCCCCTTTCTGTGCTACTTGATTTTATGGAAAACAAAACACTGGGATCTATATTTCCTCGCCAAATTGAACAAAAACTAAATACGCGACTTGAACAAAAAATAATCGAAATGCTTCATTTAGTTGCAAAAAGTTTGAACGGACAGAAATAATTGAAAAGAGCGATCTGCCTTTTTTGAGCAAATTTTGCATGCAATTTACAATTTTTAGTTCACCTTGCGACATACTTTTTGTCTGAAAAATTAGCTTTTGCGTGCAAAAATTGTCTGAAATAGGTCATCTGCTATTTTAAATTAAGTTTGTATGTTCAACTTTTTTTGCAGTTCTCTATACCTTGAATGTTTTCTGGCAGAAGAAGTAGACGAAAGGGTTGATGGAGTTGTTCATGGTTGCCAGCACGGCGGCCAGATGTTTGATCTTCATGAGGGTGGGGAGGAGGGAGGGGTGGACTGCGAATGCGACGAAGATGGAAATGGGGAGGGAGTAGGCGACGAACGTGGAGCCCACAATTAGAAAGTAGCCACGCAGCAGCTTCACGTTGTGTCTGCAAAAACAACACAACTGGCATAATAATAATAATAATAATAATAATAATAATAATAATAATCATAATAATAATCATAATAAGAATCATGATAAAGATGGATAGAAAAGTGTGCTCAAGTAAACCGCAAGATATTTATTAAAACTTTTTGAACTTATTTGAACTTTCGATTTCAAAAAAAAGAAAGTAGATCGTCTTTAAACTCCATGAATTTTAAAGAAAACTTAAAATTATGATTCAAATTTTAATAAATTCAAAAACAATGATAAAACTAATCTAAACGATAAAATTGGAATATAAGATAAGCTTTCGATTCCGGGAATTCAGAAAAAAAACCATTTGTGAAACTAGAATTCGATCACGTTTTTCGCGAGATTTACGCTTTCGCCGTCCGATAGTGAAGTTTTCCTTCTTTTAACGTAAGGAAGTGAACTAAGGTTAACAAAAATCAAAAATCGAACCGCAAAAAATCAAAATGAACAAATTTTGACATTTTTCTTAAAAAATTACAACTTTCCTCAAAAAATCAATCATCAAAAATCAATCATACACTTAATGATTATGCTAATGATCTTTATAATCATTATCAAAATTATAATAATCACGATCATAATAACCATAACAAAAATAATTATCATAGTCCAGAAGAAAAATTATTCATAACAAGGATAGTCGGTTGCTGTGCAAGTAGCACAGAATGTTTCGACCATTTTCATAAAAACTACAAAGAAAAGGTCTTCCAATTAGGGTCGTTTTTGTACGTGGTGTGATGATGAAGTTATATAAACGCAAAAAAGTTTAAAAAAATAGGCGTAATCGATGACAGTTGTTTGTCTTCAAAAAGAGAATAATAACCAAAAAATGAAGAAAAAAATTTTAAAAAAAAATTCAACTTTTTTTTTGTTTTTTTGAACAATAATTTTCTTTTTCTTTAACAAAATTTTCTTGCCAGGGCAGTGCCAAATAAAGTTTTCAAAACGAGATTATTTTGGAAATGTAAACTTTTTTTAGGCCTAGATGACCTAGAATTTAGCAAGTTATCCTCACTTTATTTGGTCGAAAACAGACAAAAACCGGTTTAGACAACTTAGACAAAATTTTAAAACTGGAGACAAAACGCCGACGGGAATTTAAGCCAAATTGTAAATTTTAGGGCTTTCAAGCCAAAAATTATCTCAAAAAGTCAGAAAAAAACGACTGATTTTGAGATTATTTTGAATAATTTCTCAAGTTGATTTTTCTTTTACAGTTAAAGGCTTTTTTGATGTTTAAGAATGCCAGATGGAAACAGCGTTTTGAGGTGCTTGTTATGTTGAAATTTCTGCCTGAAGTGTTATCGTCTTGAATTCTTGTCGGCCAGTTGTCCTAGACCCATGAACACGAATCAAAAGTTTTTCAAGAAATTTGGTCAATCGTCTATGAAAAAGGATACAAAGAACAAAGCAAAAATGAAGTAAGTGGCGTCTATGGCTGTTTTCAAGTTTTTTTTTGGTAAACTTTGATACAAAACACGTATTTCAAAATGTACAGATAAAATTTAATCTAAAAAACACTGCAAAAGGAAAGCAAAACAATGAAAATTTCATTGAAAAGGAAGATGCAGCAATTATTAAAAATTCAAAAGTTTAGTAAGTGAGTTGTTTGTTTTGACAAAAATGTTTTTTTACCACACTAAAATTTTTCTGCATTCAAATGAAGCTTTATATTATATCAAAAACATCTGAAATTTAAAAGTCCACTACCAATTGTTTTCTAGTGGGGGTCAAATCACTTTAAAGATTTTAGTTTTTTTTCACGATTAAATTTTTCTTTTCTATTTATAATTTGTTTCAGGCCGACACGATTAACAACAAGTCTATTTTGTTGCCGCTTTCTTTCATTCTGCCCCTTTGAAGAAATTACGCCGATTTTGCCAAATTTGCTTTTTCGGTTGCTCTGCTAATTAATGCTTGCTTCTCTTTCAGCTCTCAATTATAACCGACACATGAGCGGAATTTAGTGGGTCCCCATTTTCATTCCAAACTGATAACAAAGTTGCTCGTATCACGGTCACGTCGTGAAATTTCTGCGACATTTTTTTGGAAATTTTTGATGCAATATTTAGGAGAGTTAATGTAATTTCAAAAAACTAATATTTTTCTATTTAAACTTTAATAATTTCCTCCAACACACTATGTATAACGTCTGTTAAAAGTTAGTTTTTTGTGCGTCTGTCAAACCAATAGTTGACTCAATTAGCATAAGTCAATTCAATTACGAGTACTTTTTAAAAAATGGAACAATACGGATGAAATTACCGCCTACGCTACGATTTGAATTTAATGGGAAATTTTACGCGCATTCAATCATCTCAAACTAGCCAAATTGACATTTTTCGCTCCATTAAAATTCTACATTAAAAGTTCGCAGGGGAAATATATTTTTTTCGTTCATGAACTCAGGCATCCATAATTTTCAGGCGATACAAACAGCAACTGTCAGTCAAAAATGCTTAACTAGAAAGTCGAACTTTGTCTGAAAAACAAACAATTATCCTGCTTTTTCGGCGAAAGCTGGAACAATATTAATCTATTAGTGATCTTGCTTTTTGACAAAATGTTTGTCATGTAATTTTTATTCCGACTCTCGAAGACCAATTTCACAAAAATCTTTGCTCCCTTGGGAGCTCGATCCCGTGATTTGCATGGGCGCTGGAGGGTGAGCACAACACCATAGTTTAAAGCCTTTAGTCTAGCTAAACTGCTTGTTTTAAATTTTACATGTGGCGAATTATCAGGCAATACAAAATCGTTCCAAAATGAACTAATGGTATAAGCTATTTGGTCTTATTATTCCAACTTTTTTACCGAAAATAACGGAATATTTGTGCTCGGGGCGTTTTTTTTTCTTCAGACATATTTCTTTTTTGGAACTAGCAATTTTTGACAAAATTTTTATATCATTCAAAATGTATTGTTGTCGATCTTGAGCTTGAATTTAAAAAGATGTTTCACCTGTGATCTTTTTTCATATATTTATGGGGGTTTAAAGATTGCCTTTTTGCCCAATTTGGGACAAATAACGCGCGATATATTTCGCGCTATTAAGGCTTAAGCGAAGACTTAATCAGTTTTAGAAATAGTTTCAAATTGGTTGAAGGAGGCTTATTTGCGATAATTGACGTGTGACTAGGAGTGAAATCTACCACTTTGTTTTTTATTTGGCATTAAAATTTTTAACTGTACAAAAAATGGTCACAAGTGAAATATCTTCTAAATTTGAGCTCAAAACAGCAAAAAAAATGATATCAAAAATTTTTGATAGTTGAAAAATTAAAATTTATTTGAAAAAAAAAACTAAAATGAATGTAATAAAATAATAGCAAAGTGGGGCCTTCGGTTTGTAAGGGGTTCGAATCCCTTAGGAGGAAGTAGAGCGTACTCCCCCCCCCCCCTTAAATCCGCTCTTGCATTCAATATGCACTTGCACTAGGCTGATGTCATGATTAAAACAAGACTGACAGATGCTTAGCATTTTTTCCATATTTCTGGGTTTCAATAAGGCGCCATGAGTCTTTTTAAGTATTTAGTCTAAGAAATTGCAAATCTCTTTAAAAAGATTAATATGGAAAAATTCCCAGGCGAAGGGATGAATTGCCAATTTACACGTATAATTAGAACTTCGCGCAGGGGTTTTGAGGCTTCAGTTTTGAAACTTCGCGCAGTTTCAGGTTTTCAATTGGTATCATTCATACTATTTTAGGCGCCTTGTGTGTTTTCAGCCAAAGTCTACAAATATCGAAATCTCTACAAAGATAGAAATTAAAAACACTCGCGCGCTATCGGCTGAATTTCCAAAGTAAGTTTATAGTTGAAACCTCGCCTAGGGCTGTTTAAGAAAAGAGACCCGGTTCAAAAATCTAATTAGAAACTAATTCTAAATTACCATGTGCGGAGAAGCCGACTTCAATTCCCTCTTCAAGAACTCGACACTATCATAGCCCAAAGGGTCATTTCTCTAGTTCTATTTTAGAACACCCTGTTTTGGCCAAGTAACGCTAAAATGGTTATAAAGGTGCCATTCTCATTTTTATGGTATAGAGCACCCACCAAAAAAGGAAAAATTGGCGTGCGGAGAAATTTGTGTCTAAATGTGTCAAAATATAAAAAATTGCTTAAAACAAACCGTGTAAAATTAATTGGTTCAAATTCTTTCAAAAAAAGATCGCAAAATACTTTTGATTGAACTGAAAAAGAAAGTGACGAAGTTTTAAACTAATTAATACCACCTCAATTTTTAAATATTCGATTTCACTCAAACAGTTTTTTTGCCTTGCTTTAAAAAGATATTCCGCCGTGATATAGCCCTCAAGCTCCAAAAACATTTTAAACTGTCATCTGAAATATGTTTTGATCGCAAATTGAGTGAAACATCATTAAATCTACAAATTTAACCCCAATAAAAACCTGCGAGAAAATGAAAAGGTAGAAAAACATCACTTTGGAACCGCCAGACGTTATTTGAATATTATTTTTGAAAAATTGGCTGGTAATTTTTACAAACTCTTTAAAAAATTTTTTGAAAAATGAACTATGTTCATCTCTGTAAGAATACTTTTGTTTGATTTTAGTTTTTTTTTCCGCAGAAATTTTCACAATTGACGGAGGAGACTAACAGAAAAAGAAGGAGACTAAACCTATCCACTCCCTACTTAAGCTTCGATGATCTAAGTAAAATTTAACGAGGGAAGCTTTTCACGTCAAATAGAATTCGCTGATGTCTTTTGTTCATGATTTCTTAAATAAAAGAGCAGTTAATCCGCTCTGTTGGTTCAATACGCATGAAAAAAACAACCTCAGAAAAAAACAATCAGCAGAGGAAATGCAAATTAATTAACAGCCACGAAGTATTTCCAAAATGATTTCAAGCCAGGTTGCGTTTACGACTAATATGCGACTGCACACTGATTATTTTAATTGAAAGCCCGGCCGGGGTTTGGTATTGCGGCGAAGTTAATTGCT